TTTTTTTTTTTTTTTTTTTTTTTGTAAGATTATAATATAAATTTGGAAATTTGGTACACAAAAATTGGTAATACTTTAAAGCCGCGCCCCGCTGCCCGTAGCCCCCACACCATTCAATTTTTCTTTTGACGTTTTCTGCTCTTTTCCACTTCGATTTTGAGTTAGAAAATATGTTTGTCTTCATTTTCTAAATCAATATTAATTTTTTATAATTACATTATGGTTACGAAAAAGAAAAACCATTGTAACAAGATTATTCACTAATATAAACTATTTACAAAAGAACTAGTAAGTCCTTTTCTTTTCTCTCTTTTTTTTTCCAGGTAGATAATTACTCCATATATCAAATAATTTACTCAACACAATGTAATGTTTAGAAATATTTGAAAAGATTCGTAGTGCTATTGGTTGTATGATAAAAGTGGTTACCATGTGAGTCCAAATTTAAAATTATTGAATCTTAATTAAGTTAATCTTATAATAAGAAAATGTATTTTATTTAACTAATTATGTTCTTCCGACGATTCTGAAAAAATTATGTTATTCCGTCATTTAATATAATATAATATATGATACTTTATTTGTTGATGTATTCCAATTACCTACCGCAAATAACTCGATACAACAGGTTAATTTTATAGTTACAAGTTTGATAATAGTTCAAAAATTAAAGAAAAATACTTGAATGCATGAACAATTAACCATGACAATGTAACCTGGATTCTAAATTATATTATTTCAGTAATTGAGGATTGTAAGATTTACAATTAAAAGAATTAGTATTCTACATTTGCACTCTCTTCGCTTCCAAAAGATTGATTTCTCTACTTACCCAGAAGAACATAACATTCTCTTCTCCCAGTACAGAAGGTGTTGTGTAAGCATTTGCAATTACATCACAACTATTCCGCGAGGAGTTGCAAACATTTGTGGTATATCAAGTCCAAAATAGTTTTAAGACTATATGTGAGTGTTCACAAAATCCAAACTAAGTTCAGAAAACAAAAATTGAAGAAAAAAATTGACTTGTTTTTAGAATTTGAATTTTCAAAAACATAGAGCATTACGAAAACCAAAACAAAATAGCAGGAAAAGGAAATGAAAAAAGAAACCCGAAGTCGAGAATGAATCATGCAGAAACAAAAAGTAATTGTTTAATTCATCGATTTACAAAATGGCAGGCGATACCAATCAGGCATAAAAAAAATCAAAACAAACAACGAACAGCCATAAAAAGGCAAAGCAGCTTCAAGTTACTACCTATTGAGATTGGTGGATATGAAGTAGTAGGTGTTGAAAACAGGAGAAGGAGAAAAAGAAATGGTTCTGGGGACAAATGACAACAAAACTCATCAACCACCAACCGGCAAAAAGTTGAAAACGGACGTTCTGGAATGAAACCTACCCACCAACAACCATCCAATGAAAACAACGCTATTGGATCTCAGAAATCAACAATATCATCAACTCCATATAGGAACTTACAGATAGATAACGCAGTTTTTCATAAACATCATGGATCCAAGGGCTGTATAGGTAAACGCATATAACCAATTAACCATTCAAACAAATACCTGTATCTCTAAGAAATAAAATAAGACTCGGGGGAAAACAATAGAGTAAGAAAACAGATCTCAGAGATTATCCGTTTATCTCCAATTCCTAGCAGGAAATTGCAGATAGATAACGCAGATTTATAATCGCATCATCGATCTAGATATAAAGTAGCAAAATGACCTACAAAATCGTAAACTAACGACCTTCTAAAGAAGAAAAGCATCTCAGGAACAATATTCCCCATGGGTTTCTTCATGGTAAATCAAAGTGCAAGGATAACAATAATATTGTTTCATCACCGATGCTGCCAGAAAAACGAGAAAAACGACGACGACGAAGTAGCTGTATTGCAGAAAGAAGAGCGACGGTCGGCGGCGAAAAGAAAACAAACCCTAGCACTATTTTCTGAATTGATTTATGAATGACGATTGATGAAGGAACCATTACA